GAAGCGGGCCAAGACCTTGTTGGTGAGTGGGTCAATGATGTCGCAGTGGTCCTCATTCTCCGAGAAGATGGTGCGTAGCCCTGCTTTCTGAATTTCTGTTTGAGCCACTAGATTGTGGCGTAGTGAAGGCACGCACATGCCAGTGACGGTGCCGGAAGGGAAGGCTGGGCATGGGACTGTGGAGGTGCCCTTGGCTAGGGTGGTGAAGCTGGAGTCAGCTCCCAGGAGAGGGATAGGTGCTGGATAGGGTTTGAAGGAGAGTGTCTCCTTGAGCACAGTGTGAGTGGCCCCGCTGTCGAGTGTGAACTCTATGTACTGTGGTGCCTGTGATGAGTCGATGTACTGGGAAGTGGCTTCATTAATCATGGCAGTGCCAGGAAACAACAGGTTGATACGCACATCAACAGGAGCACTATCACTAGCACTAGCCGAAGAGGGGTCCTGGACCTCAACGAGATTGGCCTTACGAGCGCGCATCCAGTTTGGCGGCTTCTTGTCAACCCCGTGGATGGCATACCACTCGTCGTCTTTCTTCTTGAAGCACGTGGCAAGGGGGTGGTTAGTGCCACCACACACTTGTCCCTTGCGGTTGCCATACTTGACGACGTAGGTGCACGGAGGAAAGCGGTTGCGCTGGAAAGGCGCCGAGGCAAGGACCGCTGCAACACTTGCTAGGGGCATGGGAGCACGGATGGCGTATGCCTTGGCCTGAGCCGTGGAGTCTTTCTCGGCAGAGAGGAGTGCGGTGGGGACCTTAGCAAAGGTGAGGTCTTCCGCTGAGAGCGTGAGGAGCATCTTCCTCGTGACTTCATATGCCGAGGAGAGACCAACAAGAAGGGCGGCTGCAGGGGCTTGTTCGGGGAAGACTATACCCAGCTCCTTGAGTTCACCATGAATGGTCTGCACCTTGGCGATGTAGTCAGCCATTCCTGAGCAGTCCTCAAGACGGACTTGAAACATGCTGGGGATGAGAATCGCCACTCCGACCGCCGTCTTGTTCATGAACCGATCCTGGAGATACTTCCAGATGGCGTTGGAGGTAGGGTAGTTGTGGAACGTGTTGACAAGTTCGGGAGGGGTGGAGGCAATGAAGACGCTGATGATGGCAGCATCGGCCTTCTCCCACTTCCGGTACTTCTCAACAGCTTCTTCGTACGTCATCACGTCAGCATCACTTGAAGATTCGGTCGGTTCACGGGAAAGAGTGGGTTGTTTCCCCTTGCCACAGTTGAGGAGGACGTCCTTGAGGTCAAGGCCCTGCACGTCACGGCTCAGGAGGTGCTTGTCAACTCCGTAGCTCCACGCCTTGAAGTTGGAGCTAGAGCCATCGGCTTCAAGGCGGAGCGGGGTGATGGGGTTCGCCATGGTGGAAGACGAGAAAGCCATGGTGGAGACCTTTTAACTTCTCGCGCGGAGCGCCGCTCTTAAGTCACCGATAGGAACTTGAGGTTTGGGGTTTCCAAAGGAGATTTTGAAGAACCGGAGGTTTAGGGTTTACGAAAGAGAATATTGAGGTTTAGGGTTTCGGAAGGAGAATTTGACTGAGACGCCAATTTAGTGTCAACTACCTACTAATCCTATTCCCACACACCCCCCCACACACCACCCTCAGCTTCGCGGCTACGCTGCTGCTCGGCTGCGTTGCTGCACCTGTTCAGCTGCGGGAAAGAGGGGGGATGGGGGTAGGAGTGCAGATGCGGGGCGACGGGCGGCAGCCCGAAGATGACGCTGCGGGGCGACGGGCGGCGGCCCGACGAGAGGCTGCAGGGCGACGGGCGGCAGCCCGAAGAGAAGCTGCAGGGCGACGAGCGGCGGCCCGACGAGAAGCTGCAGGGCGACGGGCGGCGGCCCGACGAGGAGAAGAAGTGACGAGAGTGACGAATTGATGAAAACGAGTGTTAGGTTAGAGCGCCGACGATGCGCTTACCAGAGAAGTTTCCGTCGATGGTGACGGGAAGATGTGGCGGGAGAAATTCCGCCGATGAATGTCGCGAATCAACGGCGACGAGATTGGCGATGGCTTCCCCGAGGTTTGCGGGACAAGTATCCGCAGAGATGAGAGGATCACGATCCGCGTATGCGGTCGAGCTGCTCTGATACCATGTCAGAACTTGAGCTTAGAATCGATACTATAGTAGTGAGCTCAAAGCTCTTTAAGTACATCCGGAATGAGCAAGGTAGGGATGAGGAGGGAATCAGGAGGCAATCCTAGGGAATCAAGGGTAATCCCAAGGCAATCTCCAATTGGTGGGTTGGAGATTGCTTGGAGATTACATTTGGGTTTGGTTGGGATGTGGGTGTACACCCAACCAAACACAAAGTGCAAACTACACTAAACTAGGATATAAAAGTACAAGTACAAAATGTGAGATTGGGGCCTAACACCAACATCAGCGACCCGCCGGGTCGGGTTGACCCGTCCCGTCCGGGTCGCATACCCAGTCAAATGACAGGGTTACCCGACCCGTTCTCTGCTTAGGGTACAATTTGGAGAGGGGGAGAACATCAGTTGGTTTTTATGTTTTGTTTCCCTCGACATTCAGATCCAGTCTCTAATCAAGTTAGTAAATCTCCACTCCACCTACCAAAACTCTTACAGTCTTGACTTCAATGTTAGCACTATTTTAATATTTATATTCATTATAGGCATAGGCGCTCCTGCCTTTCCCAGTGTCGCACGACCAGGGGCGCAGCAGCGCACTCGCGGCCACGCATTGGCGGGATCGCGGCCACGCATTGGCGGGATCGCGACCACGCATTGGCGGGATCGCGGCCACGCATTGGCGGGATCGTGTCCCCGCAATAGCGCGATCGCGGCCCCGCATATGCGCGATCGCGGCACCACATTAGGGCAGCGCGATCGCGGCCACGCATTGGCGGGATCGCATCCCCGCAATAGCGCGATAGCGGCCTTGCAGTAGCGCGAACGCCACCAGCCAGAATCGCGGTCCACACCTCCAGCATCGCGAACACCACCTGGAGCAGCGCCAAGGCGCCACCATACCCTGCTGCTATGTAGCATATTTTGATCCGACCCGACCCGACCCGTGGTGTAACCGACCCGGTTACGGGTCACAAATACCCGTTCCAACGGGGCGGGTCGGGTCACCAAAACAGAGTCAAACCCGACCCGCTAACCCGACCCGACCCGACCCGTTAAGCTAACGGGTCGCCCTAAACGGGACGGGTCGGGCCGGGTCGGGCCAGATGCCCATGCCTAGCGCACACACACAGTGCACACACACAGTGCACACACAGTGCACACACACTGCGCACACACACAGCGCACACACACAGCGCACACACACAGTGCACACACACAGTGCACACACAGTGCACACACACAGCGCACACACACAGCGCACACACACAGCGCACACACACAGAGCACACACACAGCGCACACACACATCGCACACACACAGCGCACGCACACAGCGCACACACACAGTGCACACACACAGTGCACACACACAGTGGACACACACAGTGCACACACAGTGTACACACACAGCGCACACACACAGTGCACACACACAGCGCACACACACAGCGCACACACACAGTGCACACACACAGCGCACACACACAGCGCACACACACAGCGCACACACAGAGCGCACACACACAGTGCACACACACAGTGCACACACACAGTGCACACACAGTGCAGTGCACACACACAGCGCACACACACAGCGCACACACACAGCGCACACACACAGCGCACACACACAGCGCACACACACAGCGCACACACACAGTGCACACACACAGTGCACACACACAGTGCACACACACAGTGCACACACAGTGCACACACACAGTGCACACACACAATGCACACACAGTGCACACACATAGCGCACACACACAGTGCACACACACAGTGCACACACAGTGCACACACACAGCGCACACACACAGCGCACACACACAGCGCACACACAGAGCGCACACACACAGCACAGCGCACACACACAGCGCACACACACAGCGCACACACACAGCGCACACACACAGTGCACACACACAGTGCACACACAGCGCACACACACAGTGCACACACACAGTGCACACACAGTGCACACACACAGTGCACTGCACACACACAGTGCACACACAGCGCACACACACAGCGCACACACACTGTGCACACACACAGCGCACACACACAGTGCACACACAGAGTGCACACACACAGTACACACACACAGTGCACACATAGTGCACAAACACAGTGCACACATACAGTGCACACACAGTGCACACACACAGCGCACACACACAGTGCACACACACAGTGCACACACACAGTGCACACACACAGTGCACACACAGTGCACACACACAGTTCACACACAGTGCACACACACAGTGCACACACAATGCACACACACACAATGCACATACAGTGCACACACACAGTGCACACACACAGCGCACACACACAGCGCACACACAGTGCACACACAGTGCACACACAGTGCACACACACAGCACACACACAGTGCACACACACAGTGCACACACACAGTGCACACACACAGTGCACACACAGTGCGCACACACAGTGCACACACACAGTGCACACACAGCGCACACACAGCGCACACACAGCGCACACACTCACACACATGCACACACATGTAGAGACAGCACAAAGCGCACACACATACACTCCGAATGCCTCTCGCTCCATACCCATCCCCCACTCCACTCCACAACGCCTGCACCAACAGGCTCACGCCCTCAGAGAAACAAGCAACCCCCCCTCGTGCTTCCCTCCCTCACGCCCTAAGTGCCACTCTACTTCCCTTCCCTCCCCCACCATCGCCATTCACTCCATTCACCCCTTGCCCTCTATCCCCATCCCATCCACACCTTCCCCTCCCCTCCATCCCCTCTCCCCTTCCCACTACCAGCTGCGTCAGCAGGTTCAGAAACGCCACCAGCGAGGCACCGCCCAACTCTCAACCCCCATGCGCACCGCCCAACTCTCAACCCCCATACACCCACGACAGCCCGCCACAGCACACCACTCCCCCCAATCGCCATTCTTCTCGCCCCACCGCCCTCCCTCCCATCCCCCCCCCCCCACCACCACCCACCAGCTGTGCCAGCAGGTTCAGAAACGCCACCAGTGACGCCGCCCCTCTATGCTCCTCGCCCACGTACATCACAAACTGCCAAAGCACGCCGCCCCCTGCCATCAGCTCCGGCTGGCGCGCATACACCGCCCCCACCAGCTGCAGCAACCCCAGATACGCCCTCCCCCTCACCGCCACCTGTTCCTGTGCCTCTGCCTCCTCCCTCTGCTGCTGCCTCTGCTCTCGCTCATCCTCCTCCTCTAAACTCCGAGCCACGCCGCGCCCCATGCTGTGGGGGTACGCGCCAGCTAAGCGCGCAGCCTTGTCCACGTCAGCGTGAGCTGGACGGCCGGAAGATGATGAGGCGGGGAGGAAAGGGAGGGAGAGGGAGGCGTGGCGCAACTCCCGGATTCGCTCGCGCGTGATTGGCTGGAGGAAGAAAGACGAGAGGAGCTTGTGGGTGTAGACCATGTAAGTGAACGTTAAATCCTCATCGTCGTTTTCAAACACGGCAGATGACAACACCTGCTGCAGCAGCAGCGTCGTGGCACTTAACAAAGTCTCGTCTTTTAAACACTCCCGAGCCACTGCCACCTCATCCCCAACCACATCCTCTCCCGAGCCTCCTGCCGCCAGGGCTGCCGCTGCAACCGAGCCTCGGGCGGAGGTTCGGGAGGGGGAGAGACTCGGGGCGGAGAAGGCTGGAAGAGTGCTGGTGTTGGCGAGGAACACGGCCCAGGCGAGGCGGATGACCGAGATGACGTCATCAGGAGCAGGGGGGGTGAGCGGCGAGGAGGTGGGTGGGGAGGAGGTGGAGGCAGAGGGGGAGGGCTGAGGGGGGAGGGAGAGCGGGCCGGATTGGAATGGGACGAGTGCGTGGGAGGATGAAGAGGCAGTGGCGGATGGTGTTGACTTAAGAACCTGATTTCGTGGGGAAAAGGGAGACAGACACACACATAGTGCGGGGCGGAGGTGATGGGAAGGGGAAAATGAAAGGTTCAGCCAAGATTTGTTGAAATTTCAACCAGACCGTTGGCCTTCACAGTAGACCGTTGGCCGTCACAGTAGACTGCTGGCCGTCACAGTAGACCGTTGGCCGTCACAGTAGACTGCTGGCCGTCACAGTAGACCGATGGCCGTCACGGTAGACTGCTGGCCGTCACAGCATCTGCCTCCAAAGTCCACCTGTAGAGGACCGAAGGCAGCGCCAGAGCACTTAGGTAACTTGTCTGCTCAACTCCCGGGAGCCCCACACTAAAACAAACCGTCATCGGCAACGGCAAGCTCAGCCCACCATTATACTCGACTCCTTGAGAAACGCCTCATTGGGTGCCAGCACAGCAGGCAGGGCCGCAGAGGGGGAGGGCGACGCAGGAGCAGCAGACGAAGGAGCAGCCGCCCCTCCAGTCCCCGCAGTACCCCCAGCAGCGGAGGAGAGCGGAGGCGAGGGAAGCAGAGAGCAGGGCGTGCAGCAGCGCGTACACGAGCGTGTAAGTAATGTGCAATGTAACTGCTGTTGTGGCTTGAGGACTCACCTTGATTGAAGATTCAACAGTCCGTCACACTCACCAATCGGCTGAACTCCTTGCGAAACGCCTCATTGGGCGAGAGTACAGCAGGCAGGGCTGAAGAGACAGAAGGGGACGCAGGGGCGGCAGCAGAAGGCACAGCCGCCCCTCCAGGCCCCCCGGCTCCCCCAGCAGCGGAGGCAGCGGCGGAGGAGGGGGAGGCGAGGGAGTCAGAGAGCAGGGCGTGCAGCAGCGCGAACATGAGCGTGTAGGTGATGTGCAGCGCCACCGCTGCTGTGGCCGCGCTCGCAGTTGCTGTGGAGGCAGCAGTGGGCGCAGGTGAGGGAGCGGCAGGGATAGAGAAGGGCGCGGGGATAGGGGGAAGGGCGAGGGCGGTGGAGGAGGGGGAGGAGGCGGCAGCAGCAGCGGCGGACCAGTCACGGGCGGCGTCTTGCAGCAGCTCGAATAACTCCTTTGCCTCCTTGGGGTCTGCATAAGGGGGGAGCAGCGGGGAAGAGAGCAGAGGATGGAGGAAGGACCGCGGGGTGGAGTGGAGGGGAGAGGGGGAAAGAAACATTAGGGAGAAACAGATGGCACACAACACAGCGGGTACGGAGGAAGGTGAGGCGCTGATCCGTCTGTCGCGATCCGTACGCAGTCCAACGCAAAGCACAGTGGCTGCCGCACGGCATGAGCAGGTATTGTTGAGAGAGGAGAAGTAGTGGCAAGCGGAGGAGCACCAGGAGGAAGGAGCAGCAGGGCACGGACCGAGTCGGCAGAGCAGGCAAGAGAGTGCGACGCACTGAGCCACGAGCAGCCTCTCCCGCTGCACCACGTCCGCCCGCCTCGCCAGCAGCCCCCTCCCATCCATCACATACTCCCCCACTCCCTCCCCTCCGCCTCCCCCTCCCCTCTCCCCTCCCCCTGCCACAGGCGACGCCCCAGCAGGGGGGGCAGCCCCCGCCACCACGAGAGCCAGGCTCGGGGAGCCCGAGCCAGCGGCGTCGGGTCGGTTGAGCTCCCGAAGCAGGCGGAAGAGGCGGGCGGTGAGGCCTGATTGGAGCAGCGAGCGCAGGTAGCGGCGCACGTGGTCCTGCAGTAGCGCGTCTGCCATGCTGTCGCTCACCACTGCCACCTGCATGGGAGAGGAGGGGCGAGTGTGGGAGGGGAAGAATGTGACGGGGAGGAACGTGGGCGGAGAAGAATGTGGGGGGAAGAAGGAGAGGGGGGAAGAAGGAGAGGGGGGCGACAGAGGGTTGAGAGTTGGGGAGTGAGATTAGGTAGCGGTGCATGGGGTCGAGCAGTAAGGGGTCTGTGGTGCTGTCACGTCACCCACCCACCACTGGCACCTGCAAGGGATAGACAGAGAGAGGGCAGAACGCGAAGGAGAGGTGGGAGGAGAATGAAAGGGCAGGAGGTAGTGCCACGTGGGCAGGAAGGCACACACACGTGGTCTGGGAGTAGCGGGTCTGCGGTACTGTCGTCCACCATTGCTAGCTGCAAGGGAGAGGGGGGGATGGGAAGGAGCGGTGGAGTGAGAGTGAGGGAGAAAGAGGAAGTAGCCCAGCACACACACGTGGTCCAGCACACGTGGTCCAGCGGTAGAGGGTCTGTCTGCCTGTGGTGCTGTCGCCCACCACTGCCACCTGCTAGGGAGAGACAGAGAGGGGGAACATGAAGGGGAGGTGGCATGAGAGTGCGAATCACTTTTGACCCGGCCTGAAGTCGAAACGAGTCGTCGAGTTGCGATCCGATCTGACCAAGCCAGGCCGCATGAGTTCGGGTTCGGGTTTCGGACAAGTCTCCTCTGAAACCTCAAACCTGAACCTGAACCTGAACCTGAACCTGAACCTGAACCTGAACCTGAACCCTGAACGGACAGACAGAAAAAGGGATCGTGATGTTTGTTTTTCATAGGGTGGGAAGTGGTTGGCTGCGATAGACAAGGACGGGCTTCGAGCGGAGGCAATGGGAGGGGGGAGGAGGGGGAACCAGACGGACGTTGAGAGGAGGCGGCGAGGGGGAGACGGACGAACCTTGAGGAGGAGGAAGAGCGTGGAGAGCAGCGCTCGCCTCTCCGTGAACCACAGCCCGGCTGCCAGCCGCACCACGTCACTGTCCGCCCGCCCTGCTATGCCCCACTGCTTGGGGGTTGATGGGTGTGACGAGCACATGAGCATGAGGAGAGGGTGAGTGAGAGAGCGATAGGCATCACATATGTGATGATCCAATAGGACCCACACCCAACAGCACACGTCATGCTTGCCAAGCCAACACCACGTGTCTCATGTGGTGGATGCGGGCAAAGAGTGTGGTGGGTGGGGAGAGAGAAGAGAGCGCAGTGTGAATCTGGGTTCGGAGAAAACGAATTGAGGTACTCGGAGGAGGTGATAGATAGAAGCCATGGGCATGCGACGAAGCATAACGCTTCATGCAGTGTAGCGAGCATGGATAACTTCATCATGAAAACGCAGCAATCGCATGCCCATCTTTCTGCACTGAACGATTAAGAAGCCCATGTTGTGAATGCATGAAGCACAACATGAGGCCCCTGGAGAGGCCCCAGCAATACCTCACGTCATCACACCTCAGGTGACCTCTAAGTCACTTGTGAAGGAGCGAGAAGCCCCTGTTGTGAATGAATGAACCACAGCATGAGGCATGTGGAGTCTGGCGCGCACGGCAGCAATGCACTGCCTCGCTCCCCGGCGATACGATACCTCACACACCCCAGACATCACGGCACATCACCGCACTTGACCACACTGCATACCTCATGGTGTGCTGCCACGAGCAGCGCCACACAGTCCACCTCGTTGATGCCAAACGCATCGCTCAGCTGCAGCGCCAGCTGTGGGGGGCATCAGGGCATGGGGGGAGATGGGGGGACGGTGTGGTGTGGCGTTGCACAGGGGGGGCGGGGACAGCAGAGCAACGCCAGAGCATAAGGGTGTGGATGAAGGAGACAGTAGTAGGAAGGGTGGCAGCGGTTGGAAGGCAGCAGCAGCGCCACATAGGTCACCTCGTTGATGTTGAACGCATGGCTCAGCTCAGCTGCAGCGCCAGGCCAGCTGTGGGGGCAACACATGCAGAGGGGCGGGAGGGGTGGTGGCAGCGTGGCATCACACAGAGGGGGCGGGTGGAGCAGCGCACAAGGGGCAGAACGGGTGGATCGGGAGGGTGGGCTCACCTGCACGTCCCACCCCTCACCACCCCTCACCTGCACGTCCCACCCCTCACCTGCACGTCACACCCCTCACCACCCCTCACCTGCACGTCCCACCCCTCACCACCCCTCACCTGCACGTCCCATCCCTCAGCACGCGTCACCAGGAGGTGGGAGGGCTCACCTGCACGTCCTTGGCGTCGAGCACAGCGGGAGGGCCGTCCGGCAGCGGCACCTCCTTGCTGCGCACCTGCGCGCGCTGCTGCTCGTCCCGCGGCTTCTTCACCAGCAGGTTCCTGTAAGGGCAACCGTGGGGACAAGGGCGCGAGGTGGGTGGGGTGGGTTGGGTCGCGTAGGTTGAGTTGGGTTGAGACATCAGCAGACAAAGCAGTGGCACCTCCTTGCTGCGCACCTGCGCCCACTGCTGCTCGTCCCGGGGCTTTTCCCCCAGGAGGTTCCTGCAAGCGCGGAGGGAAAGAAGAGTGGGATGGGGGGTAGGGTGGTGGGGGATTGGGAAGATGAGGAGCGGGATCGGGGAGAAGGGGGATCGGTTAGAAGGGAAGGGTGGCAGAGGGAGGGCCGTGGGTTGGGTTGATGCATTGAGAAGCACGCAAAGCAGCTGTGCCTCCTTCGAGCGCACCTGTGCACCGCTGCTAATTCCGCGGCTTCTCCGCCAGGAGGTTCCTGCGCGCGCGAAGGGTGCATGAATAAAGCAGGGTGGGGGAGGGGTGGGGAGAGTGGAGGGGGAAGAGGGGAGGGAGGAGAGGGGATGGGGAGGGGGAGGTGGGGTGGGTGAAGGGAAAGAGGAGGGGTGGATTCTATTATCTTAGCAGGCACTTGCACCTCGTCGTTGCAGTCGCAACCCTCTCGCCACGTCACACTAGGTTGAATCAAAACCCTGACGGCGAAGTTTCTGTAGGCGCTGCGATTCTCGCCATAACGCGTCGCGAGCGATCGTTTACCGCCACGCGCAATTTTCATGTCACACATCTAATGTCGTGACGTCATAAGCTAACGTCTGACGTCACACCTAGCGACGTGACGTCAGACCTGAGGTCATCTTCGACGAGCGAGAGCGCGTAAAAGAGGTCGCCGCGCTGCGCCGCCGTCAGCTGCTTGCCCCGCCGGCCGTCAGGCCCCAGCGCTGCCTCTACCGTCTGAAGCACCGACCGGTACGACACCATTGCTCCCTATCGTCAATGACGCCTGCTAGCCGTTATCCTTTTAACAAATTGTTGCGATGCGACGCGAAAAACTGCACCGGGATGAGTGGACGACGAGACGGGCTAGTGGGAGAAGCTGGGATGAGAGGGGAAGGCGAAGCGCGGGAAGCGGCAGCCGTGAACGTGCTGCTGCTCGCGGAGCGCGAGAAAGGAATCAGAACATGGCGAATTTCGCCGGTATCAATGCGGCAAACCTTATCGGCACGTAACAATGGCGAAGCTTTGGAATGGAGTAGGTGCGACCGTGGAATTAGGCCATAACACGGGAAGTCGCGTCTCGACTCCACCTGGAATTTCGATCCAAATGGCGTTTATCAAGGGGGCGTGGGTTGGGCCTAGAAGGGTTTGAGAAAGGGGATCTGCGAGGGTGTGTGTGGGCAGTAGGGCGTGGAACTTAGCTGATTGAAAACGCCGAGATTCGAACGTCGATGACGGGATCCAAATTATTTTTCTGACAATTACGTGACTCAAAACAAGTCGGAACCCGCTGATGAAGGCTCAAATCACAATCGAACTTATTGCGAACTTATCCAACTCGCTTTTGTCGCAACTATACACTTCGTCAGGGGAGAAAAAGCCGGCGCGACTTGAAAGTCAGCTGTGATGGCAGTAACGTGGTAACGACATAGTGTGCTTCCGATATGAATGGTCGCCTGCCTCTTCAAATGACACTGTTGGGATTCGGTAGTCGAAAAGGTAACTCGGTCGAACTGCGTTCGAGCAGCATGTTCCGGACAATTACCGAATTGCTATTTGAAGGCGAAGCTGTACGACGAATGAACTACGCGAAAACTGTTACTTATACTTCGTTCGTGATGCTACAATGAGCTTCCTAGCCTTCAACAAGTAAAGAATCAAATACTAGATACATGGTGTCCTAATACATGATAGAAAGAGTGTAGGTCAGTCAATAACAAACCTTTGATTACAGCTTCTGATCAAACAATGAAGTCTAGCAATCATATGGTAAGAAACCTAGCTAGGCAGTGACCTCGGAATGTGGGATTGCGTAATGGTTTGGAGCTGCAAAGTTCGAAAGCGACGCGAGTCTCAGATCGCAATCGAAAAGTGACGTCGTCAGATGAAGCATGTTTTTCCAAAAAGTTGGAGTCATCGGTATAGTAGCATGGCTCATTATGGAATAGAGGGGGGTAGTGTAAAATGGCAAAACCGATATTAATTAATTGTTGCATTGGTCTATTTTTCGTTGTTGAAAAAATCCATTGTAAAATCCTACTGGGTGGGTGGCATCTCATTGACCACAAATCTTGTATGCCACGTCCGGTGTTAAATCGTATATATCTCTTTGACTATATTGAGTTGCTCACTAATAAATACGACACTTAAGGGGTTGCTGTTTGTATCACTCTCGTAGTGAACATTGTCCTGCTACTTTACTTTGGCATGACATCATCGTAGGTTGTTCCTAGGTCCTAGCCCACCTAACTCTCTAGACCACCTAGCTACTAGCGTTTCCGCCGAGCAACCCGCCTCACATCTACCATTTCCGCCAGCCTTAGCCACCCAACCCAACCAATGCCATCTAGTTGGTACATCGCGTACCAAGCAGCAGCCAACAGCGAGTAACCGCACTCACCAGCGCACGACAACCCACACCAGCACCCGCAACTACACGCATCAGCGTGCGCAGCAGCACGTGCCAGCATGCACAGCAACGTATACTGACGCACACAACAGCATGTACCAGCGCATGCTGCATCAGCGCTAACGCACACAACAGCAAGTACAGGCGCGAGCGACCGCACGCACCAGTGTGCACAGTAGCACGTGTCAAATGATATATCTGCTATATATGTTTAGGCTTTAGTGGGGTAGCAAATATGGGGTACAACCCCTTTTAGGGTTTCATATTTGTACCCAACTATTTCATAGTTCATTCATTCTTGCTACTAGATTCTAACATGGTATCAGAGGACTAGGTCCGTAGGACCGTCTTTTTTTTTCGAGCCCACCTACCGTTGCGGTTACCGTGCTACCCCACGTGTTGCCTGCCTGCCTGCCTTGCCTTGTGACGTGCTGCGCTACGCGCGCCGTCCTGCAGCCCTCGCGCTGCGAACTGTTGCCCTAGGCCAGCGCGCCGCCCCTGCAGGCCCGTAAGGCTCGTGCGCTGCCCCTGCAGGCTCGTAAGGCCCGCGCGCTGCCCCTGCAGGCCCGTCATGTGAGAATAGTAGGTAGAGTGAGGAGCCATAGCTAGGGTTTAGCTAGCTAGGCAAGAGAGAAATGAAGAAAGGAGGAGGTTCACTAGCAGCAGTTGGGATACATATAGCAAACCCTAACAGGGTTGTACTCGCTATAGAGCACCCCACTACAGGCTAGATAATAACATTTTGACACACCCCCATAACCAAAGTGGGGTGTAATCAGCAGAGCGCACAGTCATAGAGCAGGTTCACAATGGCAAGCAAAGCTAGAGGCTATCACACAGGGCAAGTGAGGAGGAGGAGAGTACTGTGGACGGAGAGAAGATGGGAGGCAACGACTGAAGCTGCAGAGGCACGGGCACAGGAGCGGCTGACTCAGTGGCTACCGAAGCAAGGGCGACGGACTACTGGAGTGACTGGCTCCGCGGCTATAGACGAGCGGCAGGAGCAACGGACCCAGTGGCGACTAGTGCAACAGGCTCACTGGCTACCGAAGCAAGGGCGACGGATTACAGGCGCTGCACGCGACACGACAGCTACCTCCACACAACCTCCTCCAACTGACCCACACCCTTGACACACACCCCCTGCTGAACCCCTAACTCCACTCCCACGTCACCCCCCTAGCACCACTCCTTCGGCTCCCACACACCCACCCCCCTAAGCGGCAACTACAGCAGCGGGAGACGGAGGAGGAGGAGGAGCAGGGGACGGCGCACACAACCGGCACCCCCACAACCGTCACCCCCACACTCCCCACCCCCAAACCCTAAAACGGGTGGCACAGGGTAGGAGCGCGGGGGACGGCGAGGGGGACGGCGCGCGGCCCCCAGGGCGCCACCACGGGGCAGAGAGGGGCCGCACGCGGCTCCAGGGGTGGCACGCGGCCCCCAGGGCGCCACCACGGGGCAGCAAGGGGCCGCGCGCTGCTCCAGGGGTGGCGCGCGGCCCCCAGGGCGCCACCACGGGGCAGCAAGGGACCGCGCGCGGCTCCCCAGGGCGCCGCGTCGTGAGGGGCGGGGGCCGCGCGTGCTCCCCAGGGCGCCGCGACGAGCAGGGAGAGGGCCGCGCGTGCTCCCCAGGGCGCCGCGACGAGCAGGGCAGGGGCCGCGCGCGGGTTTCCAAGGAAGGAAAGCGCCGCGCGCCTCGGGGCGCACGGCGGGCAGAAAACCGCCGCGCGCCCCGAGCGCACGGCGGAAAGAAAAACCGAAAAAAAAAATCGCGGAAGGAGGAGTCGCATGCCACGGGGCGTGCAACAGACAAAGTAGCAGCGGAAGCAGTTAGGTGGGCCCACAGGCCAGGAGCGTAGATGCTCTGATAGCATGTGAGAATAGTAGGTAGAGTGAGGAGCCATAGCTAGGGTTTAGCTAGCTAGGCAAGAGAGAAATGAAGAAAGGAGGAGGTTCACTAGCAGCAGTTGGGATACATATAGCAAACCCTAACAGGGTTGTACTCGCTATAGAGCACCCCACTATAGGCTAGATAATAACATTCTAACACGTCAGGCCCGCAAGCCGGCCCTACAGGCCCGTCAGGCTCGCGAGCCGCCCCTGCAGGCCCGTCAAGCCAGAGCGCCGCCCCACCAGGTCGCTGACGCGGCCCCGCCCTGCCGCTGACGCAGCCCCGCCCTATCGCGCTCGCGACCCCAGCCCTGCGGTCGACGTGGCCCCGTCAGGTCGCTGTCGCGGCCCCGCCCTGCCTCTGACGCGGCCCCGCCTTGCCGCCGACGCGGCCCCGCCCTGCTGCCGGCGCGGCCCCGCCAAGTCGCTGACGCGGCCCCGACCTGCCGCCGACGCGGCCCCTCCATCCGCCGATGCGGCCATGACTTGCCGCTGTCGCGGATCCGACCTGCCGCCGACGCGGCCCCGACCTGCCGCCGACGCGGCCCCGACCTGCCGCCGACGCGGCCCGCCAGGCCGTTGTCGCGGCGCGCCCTGCAGCTGACGCGGGCCCACCCTTCCGCTGTCGCGGCCCCGCCTTGCCGCCGACACGGCCCCGCCCTGCCGTCGATACGGCCCCGCCCTGCCGCTGTCGCGGCCCCACCCTGCCGCCTACGCGGCCCCGCCTGGCCCCGCCCTGCAGTAGCTGCCGCGGTCCTGCCCTGCCGCTGTCGTGGTCCCAGCACTGCAGCCGAGCGCCGGCCCTGCTCGCCCAGCGAGCACCTGCCCTTCCCGCCATTCGTGAGCACCTGCCTTGTTCGCGCGCTGCCGCGCCATCTGCCTGCCTGCTTGCCGCGCCTGCCCTGCCCGCGCTGCTACTGCTGCTACTTCTTCTACTACTGCTAGGCTACTGCTACTGCTAGTGCTGCTACTGCTACTACTAGCAGTGGCCAGATGCAGCTCCAGCGGCGTCCGCGTGATTCTCTCACGCCCCAGCAGCTTCGTGAGTGGTACGCTAGTTGGGGTTGTGGCGGTAGCAGTCGTGGCTGTCGCCCTGGAGCTGGTCAGTCGTGAGCGTCTGGCAGTGGCCAGCTGCAGCTGTAGCAGCGTCCGCGCGAGACACTTACGCCCTAGCAGCTTCGTGATTGGTACGCTCAGAGTAGAGGGTCTCGGAGTACCGTTCGCTGTCCGTACGTCATTCGCACAGGTGATAGGGCTGGTCAGGCTTGCGGGACGCTTGGTCACACATAGTCCCGCTGCTTCACCCGTCTGAGCGACGCCCGGCGTACTGAGTTTGGCGACGCGGCTGAGTTTCTCGACTGGGTGGAGCTGCTTGGGCAGAGGGTAGATATATTTGCTCTTGACTTTAATGCTATTCTCACTGCCATGTATGCATTGCCTACTAGTGCTAACCGTGCATATTACCTATGCATACCGCCTGACCCAGGTATAGAGCCTGCTGCTCCAGGTACTGGTGAGGCTACTGCTCTAGGTGCTAGTGAGGCTGCTGCTCTAGGTGCTGGTCAGGCTGCCGCTCCAGGTGCTGGTGAGTCTGCTCTCTTTGGTACTGCGCCTGCTGAGGCCTTGTACACCTTCACACTTGACATAGGTTCTTCCCGCTCCTTTCGCGACAGCACCACCCTCACGCCGCTCAGCCGGTCGGTTCCAGTCTCCCTGGCACACCCCTCTGGGGGTCCAGTACTTGCGCACTCCTCCACGGTTCTGCCGTGTCCGGCGGTCCCGTCTGGCTCCCTGTCAGGTCTTCACCTCCCCTCGTTCTCTACGAACTTGGTGAGTGGTGCTGACCTCCATGACCAGTGGGTTGACCAGTTCACTCCTGGAGGTCAGCGCGTGACCTACTGTACGTGCTCCCAGACGGGCCGGCACCTGGCCACGTTTACCCGTGCGCCTGGCTCGAGTATGTACACACTGACTACTGTGTCCCCTCAGGTCGCTGCGTCTGCGTCTGCGTCAGGTCAGCTAGCGCCCCCTTGCTCGTGTCGCGCATTGTCGCACCAGACCCTCCTTTGGCACCACCGCCTTGGTCACCCCTCGGTGCAGCGCCTTCGTAGCATGCACCGCCGTGTCCTTGTCTCTGGTCTTCCCAGGGCTCTCCCTCCCCTCCCACCCTCGCCTGCTCCTCCCTGTCTTCCCTGTGTCGAGGGGCGGCAGCGCGCCGCTCCTCACTCCTCCTCGTTCCCTCCCACAGAGGCTCCTCTGCAGACTCTCCACCTGGACGTGTGGGGCCCAGCCCGCGTCTGTGAACAGGGCCACGAGCGGTACTTCCTTCTGGTCGTCGACGACTACACGCGTTACACCACGGTCTTCCCCTTGTAGTGCAAGGGGGTGGTCCCTGATGTTTTGATCCCCTGGATCCACGCTGTTTGTCTCCAGTTCCGGGAGCGGTTCCATTCGGACATTCCTGTCCTGCGTCTGCACTCTGACAGAGGTGGTGAGTTCTCCTCAGACCTCTTGGCAGCCTTATGTGCGGAGCACGGCATCCGCCAGATGTTCATGCTTCCGGCCTCTCCGCAGCAGAATGGGGTTGCTGAGTGCCGCATTGGCTTAGTCATGGAGGTCGCTCGTACCTCCATGATCCATGCGGCTGCCCCCCACTTTCTGTGGCCGTTTGCGGTCCGGTACGCCGCACATCAGCTCAACCTCTGGCCCCGTGTCTCCTTGCCGGAGACCTCGCCCATACTGCTGTGGATGGGGAAGGTTGGCGATGCGTTGCGTTTCCGGGTCTTGGGTGCTCGTGCCTTTGTCCGCGATACCACTGCGGACAAGCTCTCCGCCCGCGCTGTTCCCTGTGTCTTCCTTGGCTTTGTCCCTGACGCGCCTGGTTGGCCTTCTACCCCACCTGGTTGGCAGGTGGGGTAGAAGGCAATTCGGTGGCAACCGAAAAGCCAGAATTCGGTGCACGCAACCTAGCTCGGTGCGATAACTATAATAAAATATAGGAAAGCACCTAGCCTAGGAAATCAAGCAATTCATGCATGCATATGATTATCCTATGCTAGAAATAGCATGATAAAGTAGAGGCAAGCAAGCATAGCTGGCATAAGCCGTCGTACTCTCACACGTCCCCCCCTCAAAGCTGGGTGGCGTGAGATACACCCTGCTTGACAAGATAGTCCTTGAGAGCACGGCGTGCGTTGCCCATATCAGCTTCTGCAACCCAACTGTCCTCAGTGGGGTCGTATCCCTTCCAGCGTATCAGGAACTCGAGAGTCTTGCCACCACGGCGCCGATGAGAGAGAACGCGCTCGATCTCGTACTCGGGTTCATCCTGTATGAGAACAGGTGGTGGTGGCAGTAACTGGCGTCCCTGGAACTGTTGGTTGGGGTCCTTGTAGGGCTTCAGTAGCTGGACATGGAAAGCGTTGTGAAGCTTCCATGTATCTGGTAAGCGCAAGCGGAAGGTAACTGGTGTCACCTGTGCCTCAACGAGAAAAGGACCACAGAAGCGAGGCCGGAGTTTGGATGGGAGGTGAGACAGGTTCAAGTTGCGCGTGTCAAGAAGCACCTGATCTTCGACTGCTACTGAGTGATCACGTCGCTGACGATCGGCATACTGCTTCTGGGAGTTCTGCATCGTGGTGAGACGTCGCTGAGTCTTCTCCCATAGCTGCTGCATGGTGGTGACGAAGTCATGTGCGGCTTGGACGTGTGCCGGTGTGGTTGGCTGCTGTGGTGTGAGTGGTTCCCGTCCGTAACACAGGAAGAAAGGAGTTTTTCCTGTGGCCGCATGTGATGCGTTGTTGTAAGCGAACTCTAGGGTTGGTAACTGTGTGTCCTAGTGGCTGACGTCTTCCTTGCAAGCTGTGCGCAGTAACTGTTCAACCACTTGATTGAGTCGCTCTGTCTGTCCGTCAGTCTGGGGGTGGTATGCTGAAGACATTGCAAGCTTTGTCCCCAACAGTCCCATGAGCTCCTTCCAGAACTTACTCGTGAATTTGGGGTCTCTGTCTGAGATGAGTGTAGCGGGGATGCCGTGGATGGTGATGATGCGGGCGAAGAAGAGTCGAGCAGTTGCTTCAGCTGTAGCTGTGGCGTTGGTCGGTATGAAGTGACCCATTTTGTAGAACTTATCGATGACTACGAGGATGGAATCGTGCCCCTGTGAGGTTGAAGGAAGTCCGGTGATGAAGTCGAGGCTAACGACCTGCCATGGCCGCTCCGGTACGGGTAGAGGCTGAAGTAACCCTGCTTTTTTCTGCTTGCTGCTCTTCATCCGCTGGCACGTGTCGCATGAGGTGACGAACTGCTGCACGTCTGCTGCCATCCCGGGCCAGTAGTAATACTTCGCTATCCCTGCTAATGTCTTGTTGCTCCCGAAATGTCCCGCGTAAGGCACGTCGTGAAACTCCTCCAATAGGATCTGCCGTAGCGGGGCGTAATTCGGTACCCAAATCTTTCCTGAACCCTTCCTTACAGCTAAGTCTTTCTCCCACTGTAATAGCTTCTTGGTCTGTGCTGTAGCAATCTCTGCGTCCACGGAGTACCCATGTTGGAATAGACCCTTGAGCAGAGGGTTCATCCCGTCGAGCTGGATGCCTGCTACATGTCCGGGGCGGCTCAACGCGTCTGCCTTGTTGTGTAGCCCGGGCTTGTAGACGATGTCGTAGTGGAAGTGAGTTTCCAGGAAGTCCACCCACCGCACCTGTCGTCGTTAGAGTGTCGGCTGTGACTTCAGGTATTTGAGACTGCAGTGGTCAGTATAGACTGTAGTCTTGGCTCCCTCTAGGTAACACCTCCACGCCTTGAAGGCTATGACTATCGCTAAGGCTTCCTTGTCGTGAATGGGGTAGTTTAGTTCTGCTCCGTGTAGCTTCTTACTGAGGTAGGCGATGGGCTGCAAACCGCGTCCGTGATCTTGCATCAGTACTGCTCCGACAGCTTGGTCACTAGCGTCTGCTTCCACCACGTAGTCCTTGTCTGGATCCGGCAAGATGAGTGCTAGCACTGTAGTCAGTGCTGTCTGTAGCTGCTCCATGGCTTGCTGATGAAGGGTATCCCATTTGTAGGGCGTATCCTTTTTCAGTAGGTCGGTCAGTGGCGCTGCTATCTTAGCGTACTGCGGCACGAACCTGTTGTAGTAGTTGGCGAAGCCTAGGAACTGATGTAACTACTTCACGTTCTCTGGTACTTTCCACTTCTTGACGGCTTTGATCTTCTGTGGGTCCACGTGTACGCCCTCGGCACTCACCATGTGCCCAAGAAACTGCACCTTCTTCAGGGCGAAGTCGCTCTTTGACAGCTTCACGTAGAACTTGTTTTTCCGCAGGATCTCGAACACCTTCCGCAGATGCTCCACGTGCTCCTTCATGTTTTTGGAGTAGATGAGAATGTCGTCCAGGTAAACCACCACGCATTCGTCCAGCAGGGGTCGTAAGATGTGATTCATCTCCGCCTGAAACGTTGCTGGTGCGTTGCAGAGTCCGAACGGCATCACCAAGTATTCGTAGGAGCCGTATCTGGTACGGAACGCTGTCTTGTGGACGGAGTTGTCTGCCATCTTGATCTGCCAGTAGCCTGATCGTAGGTCCAGCTTCGAAAATACTGTTGCTCCACGCAGCTGATCGAGTAGGTCGTCTATGCGCGGTATGGGATATTTGTTTTTGACTGTCTGTTTGTTCAGTGCGCAGTAGTCGATGCACATCCGTAGACTGCCGTCTGGTTTTGGAGTGAAGAGAACTGGTGCGCCGTAGGGAGAGGTGGATGGGCGGATCAGTTGTCTGTCCAGTAGATACTCTATCTGTTTTTTCATGTCTGTCAGTTCAGTTGGACTCAGTCGGTATGGTGTACGTGAGACGGGTTTCGCACCTGGTTCCTCCACGATCTCGTGCTCGTGGGTGCGTGCTGGAGGTACGCCTGCAGGTAGGTCGTCGGGCATTATATCCTTGTACTGCTCCAAGACCTCCTTCACTGCTGCAGGTAGCTCGGAACTCGGCTTCTCCTCCTCTGCTGCTGCCATAACCAGTGCTAGGTAACCCGTGTTACTCTCGTTCACCGTCTGTTCGAACCGTGCCAGTGTCGTTTCAGGTACGTCCCCTGTATCCGTCCAGCTTCGCAGTGCTATCCGCTTCCCATTGTTGTAGATGCACACCTTGCTGTTGACCCAATCGATCTCGGGGTTGAACCGCTTCAGGAAATCTCGCCCCAAGATAAAATCTAATCCTTTGATGTTGGTGACTGGTAGCTTCGGCTTCCACCTCAACGCACCTATATGCAGTTGCAGTGATGCTTCGCCGTGGATAGGAAGCTTCGTACCGTCCACCATGGTTGCTGAAAACTGGGTCTCTTCCGCCTTCTCTCCAATTTTCTCCAATGCTCCGCGGTCACACACCGAGTGAGATACACCGCTGTCCACCAGTGCCTGGAGGCGTCGCCCATTGCATAACACCTCGAGGAGTAGTGGTTTCTGCTGCGCTGAGTAGCCAAAGAGGGTCTCGTTAACAGGATCATAGGGTACATCAAACTTAATACCTTCCCTTTTTCCTATACCTGACTCAGCGCTTTCCAACTTCACCTGGGGGGTAGGAGGATTTTTCCGAGGCTTGTATAATTTTTCCTGAGCCTGGATGTCTCCTCTAAGCCTTGGCAGCTATGTAGGCTTCACCTGTGGGCGACGGGGAGCCTTAACACTGTGCTGCGGGGAGAGAATATTAACTCCACGGAACGCACGACCCTTCTCTACGCTCCGTAGTATTTTGCCCAACTTCTCAAGTACCTGAATAATGTTTGAAGGCTTTTTCTTGGCCTCTAGACCTCCCCTGAATTTTTTGAAGGCTTGTAAACCACGAGAAGCAATATTCTTTGTTAGAGCATCTTTATAGGATACTTTTAACGAATTCTTACATTCGTGGGTGTTCGGGTGGAGTTTCCCGGTCGGTGCAGAGTCTTTTTTCGCGGAGCCTCCATTCGCCTCGGCGATTTCCCCTGATGCCGGCCGGTCGTGACGTTTTAAATTCGCGCCATCATTTTCTCCTTTTTTCACCCGCTCCGAAGTCGCCACGTCGTCGCTTTTCGGATCTTTACGCGATCGCCAGGTCGATCCGCGGCTACTGGCGATTCCCGTTTTTTGACTTCGGGGGTGCTCCACTGTTTCCGTCCCGGAGTGCCGCACGTGCTTTCTTCATTTTGTAGCACGACAAAAACTGATGTCCTGCTGCGCCGCAAAATTCGCATTTTGTCGGCTGCTTCTTCGCGTCGTATTTGTCGATATCCATCGGTTCGGTGAACGTAGGGGGTGCCGATCGCTCCGTGCCGAATGTACGGTTCGGCGTGAAGCGTCATGTTTCGGGTTGACTTCGAGTCAGCGCGTCGTATCGGTCGGCAGCACGCACGATGTCTCTGTAGCTGTTGTAATTCGCCGCAATCACCTGCCGCCGAATCTCCATTTTTAATCCTTCGGTGTACGCGTGGATTTTTTCGCCTTCGGTCAGGTCGGTGATGCGGTTGAACTGTAACTCCATCTGCTGCGTGTACTGTGTTACACTACTGTATTGCTTGTGTCGGTGTATCTGCTGCCGCGCCATGTAGGTTGTATTAATTGGTTCGAAACGCTCGATTAATGTGCCCGAAACTGCTGCCACGTTTTCTCCCCGTGGGCTACGTCGGTGTAGTAAATCCATTCGAGAGCCGGTCCATGTAACAGTGTCGCTGTGAGCCGAATCCTTGCTGCGTCGTGTTGCGGGGTCGAACAGCCAATGGCCTCGAAGTAAATTTCGAGGGTGGCCACGAATCGCCGAACGTCGGATCCCTTCGCGCTTGGATCGAACGCCTCCGGGAGCCTCGGTCGTGCTGCTTTGAGGTTTGGCGACAGTGGTGCCATTGGTCCGTGAAATGTCGGTGTCGCCACTGCTGCTGGAGTTGTCGGTGCTATAGTCGCTGTGGTCGCTGCTGCTGTGGTGGCGAACCCTGGTTGGCTTGTCAGAAAAGCCTCGAGTCGACGAAGCGTCGCCTGCGTCTGCTCCATGTCGGTGCGAAGGCTCGCGATGTCGCTCGTAGTCGCGTAGTTGTCGCCTTGGCCCTCCATTTGGTGATTTACAGGAAGATGCGCGACGAAAATAATTGAATTCTAGGTGCTGGTTGACTTATTGCGAGTCAAGTTGACTGTAGAATCGACGAGCGCGAATTCTGTAGGTTGCGTAAATCTCCCTTAGGCGAAATTCGCGTCCGATCTCGACCGTTGAGGAGAAAATCGATCCGACGCTCCAAATTCCAACTATTTTGGGCGAAATTCTCTGAGCCGTTGAGATGAAACTCGATCGAACGGTCGAAAATCCAACCTTTCCACCAATAAATCTGAGGGGTGTTCGAAAACCGAATCGAGGGGGACTTAGAAAATAGCGCGGAACTGGTTTTACATACCCGTATCGGCGCTTTCGTCGTCGCCCCCGCGGTTTTTAAAGGCCGGAACTAAGCGGTTGAAGACCTCGCGTGTAAACCCGCTCTGATTACCAAGTGTGAGGATCTGGGATCGAGCTCAGAAAAGATGATTCAAATTGAATTGAATTGAATTGAATGTGTTCATTTGGGTACAACACGAGGCTATATATAGGCTCGACACAAGGCCCCGTAACCAGGTGTTACGCGAAGGTTCCGCGGGCCTCGTAGCGTCCCGAACGGATCCTTACCGAATTCGGTAGAAGGCAATTCGGTGGCAACCGAAAAGCCAGAATTCGGTGCACGAAACCTAGCTTGGTGCTATAACAATAATAAAATATAGGAAAGCACCTAGCCTAGGAAATCAAGCAATTCATGCATGCATATGATTATCCTATGCTAGAAATGGCATGATAAAGTAGAGGCAAGCAAGCATAGCTGGCATAAGCCGTCTTACTCTCACACTGAGCCAGAGTCTGACCGCACACGTGCTGCTCACCCTACTGTCACGCGCCTGCTAGCCACAGTTGTCACTGACCCGTCGTTTGAGTCTGCTGGTGCGTTTGCCTTAGTTGCTGAGCTTGTTGACTTTGCTGCTGCCTGTCGTCTAGACTACGCCGCTAGCCTTGTTGCTGAGTCTGAGTCTCTGTGTCCTTCGTACGTCGGGGGTGAGTGTGCTCTTGGCACGGACGTCCTTAAGGACAGGCACGAGGACCTTGAGTGTCTTGCAGGTCCTGCGCCTCATCTCGTGTCCATGCTGCTTGTCCCTGAGGGAGACCCAGATGCTCCAGACATCTCGACCCCGCGCTCTTACGCTGAGGCGATCACGGGTGAGTACTCCTCTCAGTGGCAGAAAGACATGGACGCAGAGATGGCATCATGGAAGTCCACAGGCACCTACGTCGACGATGTTCCCCCTCCGGAGGTGAACATCGTCGATGGCATGTGGATTTTCTGGGTGAAGCGGCCGCCAGGTTCTCCGCTTGTCTTCAAGGCGCGTTACACTGCTCGAGGTTTCAGTCAGCAAGAGGGAGTTGAATTCTTCTAGACCTTCTCCCCCACCCCAAAGATGACCACTCTTCGGGTACTTTTGCACGTTGCCGCTCAGCGTGACTAAGAGCTTCACTCTCCTGACTTCAGCACAGCTTTCTTACAGGGCAGCCTGCACGAGGAGATCTGGCTGCCCCGCCCTCTTGGCTTCACTAGGTCGTTCCCCCTGGTACGCAGTGGAGCCTCCGGCGGCCGGTCTACGGTCTCCGCCAGGCGCCACATGAGTAGCACGACACACTGAGGACGACACTTGCTGCTCTTGGGTTTGCTCTGTTGACTGCTGACCCGTCGCTGTTTCTACGCACCGACACTTCGTTGCCGCCGTTTTACATCCTCATGTACGTCGACGACTTGGTCTTTGCCAGTGCTGACACTGAGGCTCTCGCCCTAGTGAAGTCGGAGGTGCAGAAGAGACACACGTGCACAGACCTGGGTGAGCTGCGGAGTTACCCTGGCTTGCAGATCACCCGGGACAGAGCACGCCGTGTGAAGAAATGAGGAATGAAATGACTAAGGAAAATGTGGGTACAAGTAGGAAGCCTGGAAATGTTGTACACTATAGTGTCTACCCCACTACAGCATAGATAGACCATAGCATATAAGTTTGACACACCCCCATAGGCAAAGTGGGGGAGAACAAGAGGTCACAAGACCAGTCAAGCGAAGCAAAGCAAGCTCAGGGTGGATCACACGTCACCACACATTCCGAGCACAAGTTCAAGGCCAAAAGGCCAGTTCACATGCAAGATCATATATAAAGGTAAACAAGCAAGTGCAGGTATAGAAAGATCACAGAACAAGCAAGGTCAAGAAGTGAATAAGTGAGGCCAAGTAGGCACAAGACCTAGCATCGTACAAAAGCGCAGATGATCACAAGGCGGAAGTGCCTTGGTAAAGATATCAGCAGTGTTGGCCTCAGAGGCCACGAAAGCAAGGCGCAGCTGACCACGCTGCTGCAGCTCACGA